GGTTCAGTCTCCACCAAGTCCTGCCTGAGCGCTCTCATTTCCTCCCAGGCCTCGTCAAAGATCGATTTGCACTAATCATCCACATGTGTTGATCGTCCTCCGAGTTCCATTCCACACTCTCCTCTGGATCAGAACACATGAAAACCAAACGTTTAAATAAATGGGAAGTTTGGAGCACAGAGCAGAAGAGAACACAGATGGCATTAAAGCGTGCACGTGACAGTCCCAGGGCTCCTTTAAAGGATCATTCCAGTGTTGTTATCTGTGTCGGTCCATTCACTGCATCTGCAGGTCAAATGAAGTGTTCTCCAAACCATGGCCTGGCTTCTCTGATATCCCCAACACGTCTGTTCAGAGTGGAAATAAAATCACCTTGACTCTTCTGTAGTGAGCACGACCGGCTGTAGACGGTTCACACACATATGACAAAACTAACAAGAAACCTGGGTAAGGATCTATTTTTTGGAATTTAGAGCAGTTAAACATTATAATTACAGCCATCACAGTGGTAATGCCAGGTAAAATCAGATTTAGGGTTCAGGTTCACCACATTATGATAAATGTTGTGTACACATCTTTACTATGCAGACCACAAGGACAGCGCCTTTTATCTCTGAGTGATATTCAGGTGTCTGAGGAGAACTCTGACTAGAAACCAAACTCACTTTTTTAAAGTCAACAAGGTGCAGAGGAGTCTGAAGAATGTTATCCAGCCCCGAGTCTTGTCTGCAGGTCTTCATCTCAGTTTCAGGCAATCACAAGCCGAACTGTTCCGACAATAAAAGCTGAAGTGATGCTCAAAGAGACAGCTTTTTCTCAAGCAGGTGTAAGTGTGAAGGTCAGCTGTCATACTAACAGAGCCGATGCCTCAAATCTCTCTAGAAATCAATGGCAGCCTTTGTAAAGCAGTTGACAGGAATATGAGGCATAAAGGACTCTGGGTAACAGATGCAGATACGGAGGTCTTGTCCTTTAAAGTCAGTCATGTGTCTGAAAACACTCTCCCTGTGTTTCTGTCAAATAAAGAACAGCACAACACAGCAAGAAAGGTTCAGGGTTCGAGTCCCAGCCGACCCCGAGTCTTTCTGTGTAGAGTCTCCATGTTCTCCCTGTGCCTGCGTGGTTTCTCTCCAGCTTCCTCCCACAGTCCAAAGACATGCTGCTTAGGTTGACTGGTGACTCTAAACTGCCCGTAGGAGTGAGTGTGGTTGTTTGTCTACATGTCAGCCCTGTGACAGACTGGAGACCTGTCCAGGGTGGACCCCGCCTCTTGACCAATGTCAGCTGGGATTGGCTCCAGCCCCCCACGACCCTGTTCAGGAATAAGTGGTGTAGATAATGGATGGACAACACAGATCCTCATCTGAATCACTCCCTCAAAGTCTGCAATCTGCCCTGATTGGCTAAGGGGGAAGGGGACATGTTGTCTGGTCCTCACATCTTCAAAGGTTTGTTTTCTTGGTTTGAGGTGAGACATTTAGTTGTGATGGTTGGATTACTGTATGTCACTGGGTGTCCTCATAACTACAGAAAGACAAACAAACAGAGAATGGAGGATTATGGTCGTGTCTTTTGTCTAGAGCTGACATCTTTGGCAGGGTTAATCGAGCAGACCGACACCAGGCTCCACACACACACACACACACACGTCTTTATGCCTTTGTGTGGCCCACGTTCTGTGACTTCTGTGAGGGCCACCACTTCTACTATAGCTACAATAGTACAAAACACAAATCTATCATGAGGTGGCAATAGAGAATCAAAATGTCACTTCAGAATTCAGAAATCTCAAAATTAAAAAAAAACTTTTTCTTCTACACGTGTGAGGACCGCAGCCTGTTGCCAAGCAGATTTGGTGAACTGGACGTTCTGTCACAAACCACCAAAACAATGCATGTTATATCACCAGATTTTAGCAAATCTTTCATGACTGTTCCATCTTACTTTCCTGGTTAAACCACCTAAAAGGTCCACACAAGAAGAAATGTCCACATAAGAAAGGTGTTCCGTCAGGGGTTGGTTCGCACAAGTATATAAAGACAAACTTACACACACACACACACACACACACTGACCTCTGTGTGAAAGTCAAATGCACAGCACTCAGGCCTGTCTGACCATATTATTCTCTGCAGCAGACAGACAAGTCAACACAAACACTGTCACATATGTGGCTATGTGTCAAGCATTTGTGCACGTTTTGAGCATGTTACACTGACTTACGTTCACTTCATGGCGACCGACACCAACCGTTAACCACACCCGGAATCTAACCTTCCCATAACGTCAAACCAAGGCTTCACCCTCACATGGAATGACTTACTTTACAGGACTAACTCCTGTCCCCACAGTGTGACATGTCCCCATCAATGTCCCCATGACTAATACAAACACACACATTTGTATTTCTATAGTTGTGAGGACACTCACTGACATCCTGACCGTAACCTAAGCTAAATCTGATTCTAGCCTGAGCCTTAAAACAACCTTTGAAGCTGTGAGGACCAGACAACGCCCTCACAGGGATGGTACTGAACACACACACACACACACACAGATGGGTTCCATCATCTCACAAAGCCACAGGCTCACATATTTCTTTCACCCTGCCGACCTGACCATTTTTCACCATACTTCTGTTCGTTTTCTCTCCATTATCACATTCATCGAGACAGAAGGAGAATAATGTGAGAGAAATGAGGCAGCAGAGCGACTCAACAAAAAACAGGACAGGACGGAGACACACAAAAGTAGGACAGGCAGTAGATTAGGCTCAGCAGCCGCACAGTGATTGCATGTGACAGCTGCTCATTCATTAACATATACATGATGCATTGGCTACTGCAGGACGCGCTATGGAAATGCAGAGGTAATCTCCCAACGACTGCATGAATCAGCTGTTTATCTCCACAAGGATGTTCACCAGGGTTTCTCTCCATCTGCCGGATGTGCTCTTGTTCAGGCTGATTGCACTGAAATAATGCAAAGCTGCAATGCGGTGTAAACAGGTGAATAAGTACATGAAATAAACATCCGGATACACTGTACGCCCGTCACTAGGTCCCAACCTTTGTGCTGTGACAGATTGTTTTTGTGTTACTGTAGGTCTCGACTTGCTGATTTCCACATGAACTGCCAGATGACGTCTCACACTGTCACCAGCTGTCCCCACGATAACTACCACGGCTGCCTCATGTCCTATGTCGGCCTCATCGGTGAGTTTGGGTAGCATATTGACAAGTGGACCAGGACTCTGTGATTGTCCATTCACCGTGTGAACTGCTACAGTACAACTAATCTCACCAGGGCTCAGCTTTCCCCGCTGCTATTGAGGCCTTACACTAGGGGCTGTTACTCTCTAAACACTTTGCCTTTGTTAGTAATAATCATCCAGCAATTCAAGTCCCAAGCTGCCAAAATCCTCTCGACCTTTTTCCTCAGCTGATCTCTGGCCCATCTCTGATTCCTCCCCCACATTAACCCTCTGTCTGTCTCAGGTTCTGATGTGACGCCTAACTACAGCGACAGCAGCCCGTCCAACATCACCATCAGCCTGTGGTGCACCTGCAGAGGCAGCGGCAGTCAGGAGCGCCACTGTGACGCTTTCCACAGGGACTTCACGCACAACACCTGCCTCAGTGAGTGCTGGGACGTGGCACTGCACCACACCTGAGGGGGATGTAAAATATATATATATATATAGACTGAAAGAAAACCCTTCACAGTGGCAAAATGAGCACAGGCCAGGACTTCAATTAGTGGCTGGTTCCTTTACCAGCATATTATTTTCTTTAATAATCAGTCGGTCTGTTAGACTTCAACCTTTCTCAGCCCGTGGTGACGAGGCAAGACAAGGAAAGTGGGAAAAGTTCACAGTTATGAAGCTGGACGGGAGAGATGTTCGATGTTTTAGCTTGAAAATGCCCCTTTGTGACTAATTGATTAATCAATTAATTGTATGAACTCTAATTCAGGTTGAAACAAACAATAAATCAGTTGTCATTTAGTGGCAAATAGTTTCAGCTCTAATTGAGTTTACATTGACATGAAGCTGAAAAATATTCACGTTTAAAAAGCAAATACCAGAAAATCTGTTGTTTTTGTTTGAAAATACTGGCAGATGAATTTTATGTTGATCAAACAACTAATTGCTTGAATTCTAATTCAAGTTTTAATGATTTGAAGAAGGTCCCAAATATCGGCAGTCAAGCTGATTACCAAAACACTAGCAGATGAATTTTGTTCTGATCAATAAAGCGACCGATGGTTTCAGCTCTGGTTGCATCGTTGGAGGTTTTCACAGAGCAGAGTCTGGCAGGAGGAGTAGGCCGGTCCTCACGAGTGCAGTAACAAAGTGAGTGTATGAGTAAGTGGAGGAAAAG